TAATTTGAATCTGCCTGTGACTATTGCCCACCTGGTTAAGTTAAATGCGACTAGCAGGCTCCTCTGGTAAAATGTCAGACAACTCTGCTGTGCAAAAGACAGCCGTCAGCCGTTCCCTACCACTGTACGAGTATGGGAGGAATGCCCACACAGCAAGAACCATTCACAGCAACGCTTCGGCAACCTCTGGGACCTCATTCTGCTATTTCAACACATGCTGGGTAGCAAAAAGCTTACAGACTTTCCAGAAAGGTCTGTGATCAGGAAAGCTCATTATTTTGAAAACTGCCTTTTTGACACTGTCTTTTGAAGAGCTAGTTCTTGCAAAGCAGAAATGTAAGGGTGACCAGGACTGCCTCCAGGACATCAGACTCTGCCATCTCTGGGAACAGACCCAGCAGGCTGTACTAGTGCAAAAGAGCACACTAGCTCCTATAAAATAGCAAATATATTTTCAATTCAGAAGGAAACAATCAATTGATCACACCAAGGAGTCACATCTACTCATTCCAGGGGGACCTTCAAGGTGCTGGTCTGGATTTCTTAAGGTGCTTGATAGCGAAGGACCCACCTGGGTAAGCAGTGCTCTTTTTCTCCCTGTGTGTGACTGAAGAAATAGATGGGCAGAGCTACTATTTCACTTAATTTTGGATTTGGGTTTTTACAGCTGCATCAGAAGGTGAGCTGTAGGCCCATGGTCTAGAGCTGCGCTCCTACCACAGCCTGACACAGGGTCACTCGTGGAGCTGCTGGGAACTGCACACATAGCAGCTAGGACTTAAACATTAAGTATTTGAGGTTCTCATTTCTTAATGTTTACCTTATACATGTACTCAACGACTAAGGATAAAAGAGGCTTGTGCCTATTTGTTAGCCTGATTTTCAAAGTCTCTTAACGTGTACATGCTCCTTGTTGTATTCCAAGAAATCTCTGAGTTCCAAGCACTTCCGAAGAGCAAGTGAAAAGAAGAGTGCACATTTCTACATAAAGAGTCTGACTTGCAGCAAATATTTAAATAATGACATTAAAAACAGGGACAAATTTAAAGAGGTTCTGAGGTCTGAGAAATTATGACTGCTACTGAGCATATAAGAGTTTCCTTTGAATGCTTTACAGAAAATTCCTGTTAGGACCCCCCCTGCCAAAAAAAACCCCAACCAAAAAAAGAGGTGATCTGAGCGCAGTTCACTGTCACAAGACAGCTACACATGCTGACATTACAGCATAGGGCTGTCAGTTAAACAAAAAGCAACTAATGCTGCAACACAAAACTGCGTAGATGCATAAAGGGTAAGGAGAACCAGAGCTCAAGTTTGCATGCTGCCTGTTATGCACAAAAGGAAGAACAACTTCAGTGTTTACCATAACTGTGCAATATGAGGGGAGCACAGCTACCCCACAGCAGCTCAGGCACGGCTGCAGAAGGGCGAAAAGTATTCTAGAAACGTAAGAGGGATTTCCATATGACTTTCACTGCTGTTACAGTATTTTAACTTCTCTTAAAAAAAATTAAAGCTATCACTAAAGATCCCAGTGTCAAATAATGAAATAACATTCCTATAAGGGAACAAGTGAAGTCTTTCAAAAGATGTTCAACACACAGAAGTGATGAACAAACTTGAGTTATAGACATGAGTGAATCTGGAGCAGATTGGAAATCTGAGAATTACACCTTTTTGGATGTTGCTCTGTGAAAGCAACTGGAATCTTGCCAGTGATGAGAGAAGATTGCACTTGGCCCACGTGGTAAAGGACTTATCGCTTTCAGAGCTCATTAACTCCAACAGGAATCAGCCAACAGCACTGGATCCAGAATGAGTTCTGTTAGGAAATGAGCTGAAAGAATACCTTAGAGAAAGACTTCCAACAAGGACTCTCTGTTGAGTAAACTATGCCAGAAGATGGCTTTGAAGACATAGGTGGACTGGTATGGATGATGAATAAAATGTTCTCATTCTGTGCAGTAGCTGAGGTTAAAGCTGGTAAGCACCTCAACAGCTCTGGCACCAGAGTCAGGACACTCAAAGGATTCAAAGCCATAGGAATTCATGAAGCCCTTGAGCTCAGACAAGGGCCAAAAGGCTTTGGCTGAAGCAGTGATCACCAGGGAGCCAGAGGCTTGACAGCACAAGACAAGTATGTGACAGCATCACTTAGACAAAGAGGGAGCTCCACAGGAGCTGCAGGACTCCTGAAACAGAGGCAGCTTCAACAAAGACCCGGGCAAGGAGAGCTACCAGATAAGAATGAGAGGCAAATTCCCACTAATTGTACCTATTCAGGTGAAACCAAACAGTACTAATCGAAAGCTCACATTCTGCTCTGTGACCACAGAGCCGTATGAAGATGTAAGACAGCCTTGTCACTCAACAAAAAAAGACTGATACCTGTAGTGACTGAAATAGTAAAAACTTGCATCATGTGTGTGAGCCCACCTGCCAGACGAAACAAAATGACCCTTAAGCTCAGTACCTATGGAGGCAAGGGACTTACTTTGCTATTCCCATCAATCAGTTACATTGCAACATCATCATGCTTTTCATGTGCTAGCTATTTTAACATAACATGAAGCTTGATTGTGCTCTGGAGAAGAAGCTGTTTAGGATGAGCTATTGCATGAGGAAAGACTGGGTTCAACTTCATTTTTGCAACTCAATGGAACATGAATAGAGCAATGCTGAAACTCCCAAAGTTACCTTGTTAGGAATGAACACGAGGGCAGGCATCCATGCTTCCCTTCAAACATGCCACTACCTTCTTTGAAGACGCTGTCCGTTCAGAAGCACAGGTGCTCCAGCACTCCCTGACTTGTAAGGAATCACACTGTCCAGGATCCATCAGCCAGAGAAGTGAATGAGCCAGGTAACACTGATCCCACTGTCTGCAATGTTGTATCTCAAGGGAGTATCATCTTTTGCAGGAAATAAGCTGGAAACTGTCTACAAGCAACAGCAAAACTTCCCTAACACTTCCAGTCATTAAAGTCTCGTAGAGGAAGCATCTTACCCATTGCAGAGCAGCACTGCGTGAGAGTTTGCTGGGCCGGGTAAAGATTAACAGGCGGGTACAAGTGCTCTCCTCAGTTTATCAAAGTGAAAAAGAGATAGAGACTCCATCAAGAGAATTATCATTCTGTGCAGCTCACACATGCCTGCAACATTTCAAATGGACCAAAAACTAGAAGTAGGAAAACCGTCTGGAAATAAAACAAAAGGGGAAAAAAAATTTATCAGAAAATACAACTGAGAATTGAGAGCACCTTAAATACACCTTAGTAGAGGAACCAAAATACATTTCAGTCCTCAGAGAAACCTGTGCTAATGGACAATATTTCCAGTCCAAAATGGATAAAATAATAAACATCTTTAAAGAAAGAGGAAAAATAAAGTGTAATTGCTAACAGATTATTTCAGATATTTATTAAGGAGACTACTGTATAAAGTGCACAACTAGCTTGGTTTTGCAATCAAAACAAGAATGTGGTGAGGTGTCATCGAGACTGCTCACTTTAATTTACAATACAGCTTAGAATACAAGGCTTGACCTGAGATGCAGCTCTTAAGTACTCCAGTTATTTTTGGCCATTGAACTTCTGAAAGCTCACCCTGCACCTGTGGTTTATTAAAAAAAAAAAAAAAAGAAAAAGTGCCTGTCCTCCAAAGTGCATGGTAGAGATAAGAAAAGTATACATTGGTATGCCAAAAATAATTAAAAAAATTAATAGGACAGAAAGGGAATCAATAGGAAGACTGAAAAAGAGATCATCATGAAACTTCCCTGCTTTAGCAGCAGAAGAGGAGTCTAGGGAAACGTACGTACTCTAACTGAGCTCAAGGACTATGCAACACTTAGGCAAACCATGTTTCATTTGTATTGCAATGGTCTTTGCAGGAATTTAGGAGAGACTCTGATAACAGTGTGCTGGATGCTTCCAACACCAAGATAAAATAGTAGTCAGAAATTCAGAAGTGTTTAATGAAGTACAGTACAGGAGGAGTCACACCAGGAACAGCGATCCTGAGCATGCAGCGGTCATGGCATTTCACCTGCCAACATGCAAAGGTTTATAAAGGTTAACGATGCAGCAGAGAAGTGGGTTCTGGAGGCATTTGTAAGACAGGAATTAATCTATACTGGTAAAGAGATGGTTGAGAAAAAGGAAACAATAAGAAAATGCAACAGAATTCAGTTTTAAATAAACCAGAAAAATAATCACTGCAACAGTATTAAAAATGTTTTTCAGATAAGACTTCTCTGTGCCTGAGTTTGTAAAGGGGAATATTAATTCTCAATGATCTAATCAGAGCACTTTGAAGCGGGTGAACAAAAACCTAGAATAGTAATAGAACAAAAGAAGGATGCAATTTTGGTGCTGGGGAAAAAAAGGATGGTAACCATGACACAAAGTGGAACATAACTGTGGATCAAATGAATAGTACGGTTTGGGAAATTGTAGGTAACAACACAGTAAACACTGAGTAAAGGCCACAGTGGTGAGAATCAAGGTTTCTGCTCGATCTAAAGCAAGAATCTTAAGATTCTTGGTATTGTATGAAACGCTGAAAAATATATTAACAGCAACACTGAATAATCAATCAGAAATAACAGCAGGAGAAGAAAATTAATACCTTTTCAAAACCATTCTCCAAGCTACATAAGACTATGTGCCAAGAGCAGCGATGAATTTTTGGTAGTTTGTGGTAAGGGTAACAAAGGAAGAACTCTAAGGTTAAGAATCTGATGCTGCAGAAGTGCTGGGCACCTACATCTACTTTTAATGCAATCTAGCATCACAGATTCATGGCACCTTTGAAAATCAGGCTCTAAAAAGAGAAATCCTACAATTTAGCTGGACAAACATGGTAATTAAAGATACCTAAAGGCTGTGATATTCACCTGAAGGAACCAAGAAAGGGCAATTTAAACCTGGATCCCAAATACAATGTCAGAGGACTGTCTTTAAGGAGATTCTGTGAGAAACATCTTGCATAACCAGGAAAGGTTTTGAACATCTCCTTTATTCCTTGGTATATAACCTCTTTCTGTCATTGAGGGCACTCAGACAGCTAATGAGGTAGGTATAGCACAACCAAGTCTTTCCTGATAAATAACAGTGATGGTAACACTTTCAACCTTATTGATTGGCCTAGAACAGAAATCATGATGATAATGGGTTTATGTATCCCTGAGAGGGAGTATAAAACAGGAAGAACAGGAGTCTTCTCCATAGATTTTGGGAGAAGGGCCATCACTTCACTGCCATGGTGGGACACTGTGTTATATGAAATGAATGTATTCACACAACATTGCTGCAAGATATGCGTGTTTTATAGATGGGGGTGCCAGAAAAGTTAATTGACTTGCCTGTGGCCATGAAAGCAGTCAGTGACAGACCTGGGATTCATGATCAGGACTTCCTTGCCTCCTGCATCATGTTCAAACAGTTATCTACTTGCTGGCCAGAGGCTCACTGCATGGTTGTTCTAACATACTGTATAAAGATAGTCATGCAAGGGATGTAGCACAAAGTCACTGAAGAACAGAGTTCTCTCTATACCAGAAAGCAGATTTCTTCTGGAAGCTGCGTGCAATTGGGAACCTCTGGTGGGAAGCACACATCTGGTTTCTTCACCCTGGAATGTCTGGTGCTTAAGGCTTAGCACAATGAGGACCATTTTAATGACTAAATGTAACAGAGATAGCCCGTACAGGCATAAATTACAAGCTGTCTGGTAGTGGAACAACCTTTTCCCTATGCTCTTCTGACTCTTAAAAACAAAAACATTAGCCTGGTTAATTCAGTGGACTCATCACGTACAACTATAGATCAGTCTATATTTCCATGTCCACAGGTCGGATATCTCCAGTTTTGTGTTCTTTTACCCACAGTTCCCTGTCTTTGGCAGGATCCACTTTCCGAAGCAACTGATCCACGAGCTCTACTGTCTAAAATGAACAAAAGAAGAATCAAAATGTCAAGGGCACATTTCAAGCACAGTCAGTCATTGCTCTGAAGCGTAGACCAGCTATGGGCACGCCTACGTTGCATTTGCAGACAAGTGAGAACCGAACATACGTGAGACTCGGTGGACAACAGCCAGATCTGAATGTGAAGCCTCGTAGCAGGAAGCAAAGAAGAGGCAGACTATTAACGTCAAGCAGAGACAGGCTTTCTATGCCAGCATTGGACAGTTGGTCTCTGACTCCTGTCCTGCAATCTGTACCTTACATGAAATACAACCATGTACTGAGGTCGGCATACATCCCCCATATTTTAATATTTAAAAACTAGCCAGTTTTTTAATACAGAAAAAATACATACTCTCTCCTCCAACAGTGAAACTATTTACCATCTTCCTTGCAAGAATAGATGACCTCAAGGAGCAGTGCATCATGCTGCGAGAGCTAATAATGGCTCATGCTGCCCAAATGTAATTCAGTTCACTGTGTCTCCGCCAGCAAAAAGCTGTGATCCAGCAGTATGAAATGTAAACAGGATCAGAGACTATTAGAAGAGCAGGACTGCAAGGTGGCAGTACCGTACTGCTGCAAACTAACAAGCTGACCGCATACACTTTTCACATCTCCTTTTGATACAGGTCAGTCAGATCAGAATAGGGACCATTCTGCCCAGCTGAAGTGCAGTAAAGACCAAAGGGTCTGAACAAAAAGCAGACTTACGCTTTGGTTGAACATGTCTGTCTCATGCCGCAGCTGTGTATACTGGCAAAGATGCTGCCGAATCATCTCCACCCTTTCAACTTCTAGTCTTTCAAGCTCCTAGACATGAAGAAAAACAAGTCCATATTTTTTTTGAAGGCCCAGAGAAAGGATGACACACAAAAGGTTGCCACTCAGTACGATACTACCCCAGGGACATGCTTTGGAGCTGAAGTCTGTGGTTGCACATCCCTACAATTTGCAGAGTATCAGAGACAGCAAGCAACAGAATTCACTTCAGCCTGAGCTCAACGATAGAAAAGAAGGTCGAAACCTTTCCAAAACTGAGACAACCAAGGCAGAGAGACTGTCTTCAGGGACACTGCAAGCAAGAGGGAATCTGTTTCCTGCAAGAAGCTTTGCATGTTTTGTTGCTAGCTCCAGAAGTTACAGTCATTCCTTGGGGAAGCAGGAGACCACGTTGGGGTGTATGGCTCAGAGGGTCTGACTGCCTCGGTCTAACCAGACACCTGTAAGAGCAGTTCTATCTGTTCACCAGATGATGAGCTGGGACAAGTCTCCACCTCATTCAGCTGGCAATAAGCAGATGCCAGCAACACTTTAGTTGAAAGGTAGGTGATTTCTAACTTTCCTCCTGATTTTTTTCTGCCTCCCTCTTCTCCTGGATTCTGATACTATACCCCAAAATCTGCATTTAGTCCCTCCTTGTCTGAGTGGCAGCAGTGGAAGCAGCATGCTATGAAGTCTGCCTTTAAAGACATATACTGTAATGGACTTTGCTGTATCACTAGAAAGCTCTGTATTCACAGGCACATCAACGGGGTCGAATCTTAATAAAAACTGCTTTCAGAGGGCATTTCTGGTGTCCACTTACTGGGCATCATTGTGAAGTGCAACCTGAGCACATACAAGCAGGCAGGTTGCTACATTGCCTTTCCTGTGCTATCAGCAATTTGCTAAATGCCTTTTGGGAAACAGATTCTTCATTACAGCACAAAATTCTCAGGTAGCAGACCATCTGCCTGCAGAGGAAGAAGAGCAAAGGAGCTTATGGTATGGACAGGTCTGAAATAGACTGAGCTCCTATGGCTGTTGCTGGTTGATGTACTCCCCTATGGAAAAAATGGCCTACTTTGAACACAGAATCCCTTACTTAGGGCACAGATGTGCAGGACCAGAACACTGAACCCAGTGTGCTAGTGCTAGTAAGCATGCCATATGCAGAACATGCATTGTATCTGCACTAGAAACTTCAGGGAGGAAGGTATGCAAGGAAACACAAATCTTCAGAACTTGACTCTTTCAACTTTCTATAGCATATGAACTAATCTGTACCTGAGTTGATCAGATGCAGACTGTTTTTCAATTTAGATTTTATATTCATGTATACCAAGACTCACCTTCAAATCCTTCTCAGAGTGCGTTTCACAACTGAAAAGCCTGCTGTGCAGCCTGCAGGCTACGACTTCCCTTTTGAGCTATCTACTAGCACATTTCTGAGTTGTCCTTCTACAGGAGCAAATATGCAGCTAACATATACCTGGCTGTATCTGGACACAGTGGCACTGATGGTCAATATCATTTGCATCAGTGAGAAACCACCAGTGAAGGTGACAGGAGAATCAGATGCCTTATGTATAGGAACAGCCAACTTTTTCTCTCTTGTTCTGTTTTTGGGGAGGTATCTGCCTCCTGGTGTTCCACTCACCCATCTGCCTTTATTTATTTACTGCAGTTAAAACATTGCACTGACACACTTTCAAATGATGAGCAATTTATTACCCTGCTCCTTATTAGGAGGAGTTCACAGTTTTGTGTATGTCCAATGAGAAAAACACATGCAAAAGACATTTTTATTTCCCACTTTTGAAAGCAATTGGCTGTTGTCCAGAAGGGCTCTAAGGAATGACAAGGGAGGAGCCCTAAAGCCAAAGTACAGGTATTTCAAGGAATACAGCACATCAAAGCTGTATCTTGGCATCCTGGTGACTAACCCCAAAGGTATACACCCTTAAGGTGTATTCTGTGAGCTGTGTTATCTTCTGAGAAACAGAACAATAGGCAATTGAAGCATACCTCTTCTAAGCTGGCAATACTCAAAATTTCAAAAAATTTCAAAAGAAATTGTAAAATCATGGAATAAAAGAATTCATTAATATATAAATGGATTCAGTGATTTATCACATTTTTCCATGTCTACCTTGTGCATTACTTCATCCTTGCTGGGGACAGTTCCAGTATTCTGGCCCCTAAGCAGACCTGAACTGGTTTAACACCTTCTGCAAAGAAACAATTATTTCTTCCTTCCCCTACTGATATGAATTTTTCTTAGAACTGAGAACAGGAAATACAATGGGAGATTTATCACCCAATTTTTCCCATTGCTTTGCACTGTAACTAGCTATGAGTGATGTACACTATTACAATTTTGCAGAGTTATCCATGTAAGATGCTACAGAGAATTACATACCAGAGTGGTGGTCACCATTTCCTCAAACCATTTGGACTGGGCTTGATTGTAAAGATCCACACAGCGCATCAGGTCATCTCCTGAAAAGTTCAAGATAACAACACATTAGTCTTCTCTAGCCAGTGTTAGGAGCTTCAGAGGAAATTGCAGTTCAGGTTTTGTGGACAGACCCAAAGGGTTTGAATGTCAGTCCTGGTGGAGCTGAAGGCAGTTCTGTTACATGGTATTTGTTACATGCAACAAAATTTCAACAAAATGCATGCACTTTATGTGTGGTAAAAGATCAGTGATTGGGAGAGAAAGAATGAGTAGGAAAGACAAGATTTTAAACGGAAAATATGAATGTTAAGTAATATTTTACAAAATGCCCAGAACTATGAAAGCAAGTTACTTCAGTTAAAAAAATGGTCATAGACATAAAGTTATATCTGAAAAATAAAATAATTAAAATGGGAAATCAATAATAATGAGTTATTGAGCTGCATGGTAGGACTCTGTAGCTGAGACTGCATTCGAAGACAGGTCTGCTTAAAACTGGAGCGAAGCATCAGGCTTAAGATGTCTGAGATCGAGGGATGCTTATTTGCAACCTTCACCCAGTTGCACACTCATGCATTCTCCAGCCTCTGAAGATGCATGATTCCAGTCAAGCTCTAGCTTCCCTCCATATTCAAGGCAGTTTTTTTATTTGTTGCAGGACCTCTGACAGAGAGGGAAAGGTGGGTGAAAAATCTGGAAGGCGTGTCTCAGAGATTACTGCTTTCTGGCTCATAAATTCTCCTTCTTCTTTAAATGAGGCTTAACTACACTTTCCCTAATGGTTTGATGCCTAGGTCCAGGGCTCAAATTCATCCTGTTCTTTTAGGTGCAAGAAGGTCTTTATACATTAACCAGGAATGAATCAAGCTTTAAGAACAGGACTCCATAGACCAAACAAGTGTCAAAGAAGTAAGTGCATCTGGAAGTCTCTGGTGGACTTAGAACTTGGGGTGGCAACCAAAGTCTACGAAGAAACCAGGACTGAGGGCTTAAAGCTTGGCAATAAGCTTATCCACCCAGACAGGGGATGCCTAGGCTGACATGACAAGTCTGAACTAATGACTTCCACACTCCAGGAGGCTCCTTGGGAGCTATCTGACTTGGGGTTCTCCTCCACCCACCCGAGTGAATCTGAGCCACTGTACAGCCAGGAACATGAAAGCAATGAAACAAACAAAAAATCCATGGGAGCAGAAAGCAACACCACATATCAGTAACCAGTGGGATCGTAGAAGGGCTCTGGTCTAGAGCTCTCTGGTCCTATTGTCCACTTACAGCCGGGCTCATTTCAAAGACAGATCACTACATGCTGCTGCTGTGCGTACTGCAAGCACCCCAACTGGGCTGCTGGGTAGCACTAAATGCAAGGATGGGACAAGTCCTCCCCTGGCATGCACTGTAACAGTGGCAAAAAGTCGGGGAGAGCAATGGGGAGACTCACACCAAATTCTGGGTTAATCCCATCTGATCTTCAGCTGTCCCTTGCCTGTTCAATAAATATCTATTACAATTTCTGAGGAGTCAAGAGAACACAGAGAGGCTGTGAATTTGCGGACGGATAAAAAGCGTCTCTCATGGAGCCTCCCGTCGCTAACACATAACTTTTGTTTCTCCTCAAATGGTTGTCTATGCATGGTAACCCTGCGAATGACTCTTCTCAGTCTCCTCAAAACCCAGACAGGCTATCCTGGAAGTTTTAAAAGCTTCAGAACTATGAAGGACCACTCTGGCAGGAATGGACCTATGAAAGGATGAAACATGGAAGCCCTAGTTAAAACATATTTTCAGCAAAGGTACTAACAGAGCTGCACATATCAGCTTTGCAGATCTCAAGAAAGACAGTTCCTGATGGATCCTGTAGAAGTGGTTTGAGCCTCTGTAAAACATGCATAGGTCACATCAAGTAGCTGTGTCCTCAGTACAGTATAGCACACACTACTATATCCTCAGTACCCCTTGAACAGAAACCATTTTAATCACGGAGTAGCAGTGGAAAAAAGACAAAAAGTTCACTTTCAAGGAAAAAGACAGTAATAGGAAGCATAATAGGCACCCGCATAGCTGTGGGTGACTGTGATTTAGGAAAGAAACAAGGAAGGAACTATGATTTAAGGAAGAAACATCCTCAGCTGAGCTTCTTTGAATCTGACTTTGAAAGTTTCACAAACATTCAGTTATCTCAGCACATTTTCACAAAACAAAAGGACGATTCACCCTCCTTTTACTGTTCTCACCCCGATTATCAAAATCATCATTTTATGACAACTAACATGGAAAAACTGCGCTTGTTTCTTCAGAGGACTTAATACCAAACAGATTTGTAGCACTTTGTAGCTACAATATTGAAAAACAAGAAACATGCAGGGGGATGGGCAGTTGCATCCCGCAGGGCTGTGCTTGCCTCCCAACGCTGATGGACACAGGTACTCACCTGCCTGAGTGGACTTCCGTCTCGCCTTCTTAATTTCCTCTTCTGTCTTGTTGCTGAGCTTCACCTCTAGCTGCTGAGTTTTCATTTCCAGATCCTTCTGTCTCTCTGTCAAGGCCTTCCGGGCCTTGGAGTAATTAAAGAAGAGTCACATGTTTTAGACGAAAAGAGCTGCCAGCTGCTGTCAGCCATCCAGGACTCCTTCACACAAGTATTTGTCAGTAAGAAGTCAGGGACTCTGCATAAAATTGAGTCCTAACTGGGATTCAAACTGGGATTCAAGTTCTTAGGACACCATGCGGTGTTCAAAGAAGTGTCCTACCACCATATAGAAGTTGTCACCAACAAATCACAAAAGCGTCTGAATTCTTCATAGGTTCTTAGAAAGGCACAGTACCAAAGTCATCATCAGACTTCCCTGTTTCTTAGTAACTTTCTCACTATTTCTGGAAGAAAGGGGAGCTGGAGCTTCTTCCAAATGTCTTAACCAGCATCACATAGACATCTCTTCCACTTGCTTTTCTTAGGATCTAAATTGTTGAAAGAATTTCAGGTACCTTACAAAATTTATTTTTAAGTACCTTCTGGATTCAATATACACTTGGAATAACAATAGGAACTTTTGGACTTATTTCAGAAAAACTAATTCAGGTTCATGACAACAGCAGTTTGTACTGTAGAAATCAAGAACCTGAGACCTGGTTACAACTGATTATTTAAATTACCTTACTTTAAAGTTCTTCAGGCTTTTAAAACCTGATTTACCAGTATCATTGCTGAACTTATACAGGCAAATTAGTAAAGTGTCTCAATGAATAAACATCATTACCACATATGCATGCTGTCACCTCATTTGCTGAGGTTGCCTAAATACATAAAATAAAAATAACTTGTTTTGCACAGATTTGTTATAAAATAGGTCACATTTGTTCTTTACCCAGTTAGTGTTTAAAACTAAATTTGGATGATATATTTTGTTAGCACCTTGCAGTCTCCTGCAGTCACACCAGCCTGCAAGTTACAACGCTCTTGAGGCATTACTTGTATTTTTTCAATTTGCAGTTTTAAAGACCCTGTGCTTGGTTCGGCAGGTCGCAAGAGGGAGCTGCAGAAAAGCAAACTGGTGAGAAGCTGTGTGCTTCATCAGGCACGCTACACACACGGCTTTTTCCTTTTTTTATTCCTTCTTCTCAAGGCTATTCTAATTCATTCTTTTCAATACCCCTACTGAGGACTGTGTTTCTTTGCAGATATGACTATGAGGAACTTACTGTTTTGCAGAAAAATGCCCTCCCTGCATACATACAGTCTAATAACCTTGTGTATCCTACAACAATTCTGTCCCCAGACAAACTTTCTCATGTGCACTCTGATCTTTAGTGAAAGCCCAAACAACCTTCTGGGTTGACTGAGCATGGTATTTTCCTTTCCATCTTACACCCAGGAGCAAACCGCATGAGGATACCATCTGGCATAAGCATCTTGGCAACCAATGCATGGGTATCCTGTTTCCTTCCAGCTGCTGATAAAAGGTATAACTCTCCCTAAATCACAACCCCTCAAACTATGGTGCTGCTGCTGTTTGGGTTTTTCAGGTGAGGATGTCTGCTGTGAGGTGCGGGAGATGGGAACTGGGGGAGGGTTTCTGACTTGCCATGCCAGGTTCGAGCTGCCTTCCTTGGCCATCTGCTTTTGGCCACTGCATCAGAGGATACTGAGCCAGGTGAGCCTTTGGCCTGACCCTGCTGCTATTATAAGGCAAGGTTTTTTAAATTTTGAGGGCAATAGATGTGACTTCTAGATGCACGCAAGCAAGGAGTATTTTCACCAAATGCATTAGAAATATATCATCCCAAATTGAGAAGGGGAGGATGAAGCAAAAAGCCAGTTCAGCAGTAATGTGTTAGCCCTGCCTGTAGCCCCCAGTTTCCCAAATCTCAGCTAAACAGCAAACAACGTCTAGGGCCTAGCAAAGCATAACTAACAGCAGAAAGCACTCAGCAGAAACCTTTGTGGTTCTTTGTGGCAGAACAGAAACTTTTCATGGGGCAGCTGCTTTTCTGTCCAAACCAGCAGTATCTCACAAACTCTCCAGTTTGTTCTCTGCTCCTACCTTTTCAACTGCTGCATAGCGGCTGGCCAGATGCTTCCGTAAGTCTGCAATATGGTGGTCACACTTCTTCATGTCTTTCTTAAAGTTCTCTCTGAAGTTGAGCAGGGGTTTCTCTACCTCGCTCTGAAGCTTGTAATGAAAACAAAAGAAGAAATGGCAATAATGAGGAGCCGGGCAGTAATTCCTGGCTCTTCTGCTGAGCAGACTCAGGGCAGAGAGGAAACAATACACATACCACCGCCAAATGCAGCGTCATACAGCAACACTTCTCTTCCCCAAGAGAGCTCTGAGTGAAGCTACTGCAAAACTCAACTCTTTGCAGGACAGCTCTGTTAAGGGAGTATTTACTGAAGGGAGCAAAAGGACAGAAATCTTGTCTTCCTCTCTCCCTGTTAAATCATCTCTCTCTTCTTACACAAAAGATCAAACTACAGACAATATCCAGAGCACTACTTGAGGTGCTCTGATTCTGGCCTAACTGATGCAACTTGCTTACTAAAGCCACTAACCTGACTGCAGTAAGGTGAGTCAGTGGACCATGGTGACACATCAGCGTTTCTTGTATAGTGAAAAGAGATCCAATAAGGGCACATTTTACTTACTTCTGTCAAGTATAAGGGAGCCTAAAGAGAAGTTCGAGTATTTAGTTGAAACTCTTTAAGTAGTGGCAAGAAATCACTGAAATGAACTCAGGAATGATCCATCAAGACCGCACATGTGACTTATCTCTTACAAGCAGGACTTAACAGTCTGTAATACTGAACTCTGATAGAGTTTGTGTCATACTGCTCTTTGTCCTTCTGATACACAGTTTTGACATCTAGGAAATGTGCTCTGAAGGTATACAGATATTTCACCTCCCCAGAAGCAACCAAATAATTCTTTTCTATTGTCCCTCCTGTGGGGATGCTAGACTCCGTCAATGCACATGAGTTGGGTACTGTCCTGGTTTCAGCTGGGATGTAGTTAACTGTCTTCCTAGTAGCTGGTACAGTGCTATGTTTTGAGTTCAGTATGTGAAGAATGTTGATAACAATGATGTTTTCAGTTGTTGCTCAGTAGTGTTTAGACTATAGTCAAGGATTTTTCAGCTTCTCATGCCCAGCCAGGGTACCTGACCCAAACTGGCCAACAGTGTATTCCATACCATGGGACGTCACATCTAGTTTAGGAACTGGGAAGGGGGGGGCAGGGATTCGCCGCTCAGGGACTGGCGGGGTGTCGGTCGACGGGTGGTGAGCAATTGCCCTGCGCATCATTTGTACATTCCATCCTTTTATTACTACTGTTGTCATTTCATTAGTGTTATCATTATCATTATTAGTTTCTTCTTTTCTGTTCTATTAAACCGTTCTTATCTCAACCCAGGAGTTTTACTTCTTTTCCTGATTTTCTCCCCCATCCCACTGGATGGGGGGGAGTGAGTGAGCGGCTGCATGGTGCTTAGTTGCTGGCTGGGGTTAAACCACGACAGGTCCGTAATCACTTAACATGGCCCACAGTACAGCAGTATCAAATAGTGCCTGAAAGCAAGTATTTTCAGTCTTTCTCCAGTGTTATTTTAATGGAGAAGGAACCTTCATTCAGGCTCAGTACAGCCTAATGGAGAGAGGCTACAAAGACAGCCACATCCCTACAGCACACATCCTAGAGAGTTTAAAAAAGCCTAAAGCAGAGCTTGTTTAGGCAGACAAAGACTGGCACCACAGTGATCTAATATGGTCTACAGCTATCTGAAGGTCAGATGCAAGGGTAATGGAGACAAATTCTTCTTTGTAGGGCCAGGCAATGTCACAACAGACAATTGAGCTTTGGGAGATTCAGGCTGAATGTCATTGGGGAAAAAAAAAAAAAAATCACCAGAATGGTAGCCAGGCACTGGAACAGGTTGACCAGAGAGCTTGTGAAATCTTTGTCCTTAGAGATATTCAAGACTTTGCTAGACAAAGATGTAGCTGACTTGACCCACTGTGGGTGATAGTCCTGCTCTGACTGGGGGGGTTGGACTAGAAAATTCTGGACAATATTTTTATGACAGTCTCATCAGGATGGCCCCAGGCAAGCTAATAAAGACCTGTTCACAACTCTGTGGTCCAGCATGGTTACACAAGCTCTCTCAAGAACAGAGGTACAAACCAATAGCTATGTCAGGAGCGTTGTCAATGCTCAATGGAACAAGAACTGGAACAGAGAGAAGTTCAGTATGGCTTCAGTGAACTCCAGAGGCAATATATTACAATTGATAGAGATGTCTGTGTCCAACCGAGTTTGAAGTAGCTAAACAGTCTGTGTGTCCTTCAGACTGCTCTATTAATAACTGGATTAACCTTGGTAAACAACCCAACATGAGCTAGTCATCCTCAGTAGAAGAAGTGGCAACCTGACTCATCTGACATAAGTAGGCATTGCTGTGAAAACCCTTATAAAAATTCCCAGGGCCAGGGACACACCAAACAGGAGGGCATGCCACTGGTAGTTCTACTTGCCTAAGAGATAGTGAAGATATTTGTTTATTTCAGATGGTTTATAATGGGACAGGAAATTGTGAGATCCTCATAAAGATGGGAAACACACCACCAGGAGGCTCAAAATGCAAACAAGGCAACTACTTCTTCCAGTTTTGTGTTCTGGGAATCAAAGAGGTGGACTTCTCAGTGAAGGCAGTCATCTTTCCTCTAGCACCATTATCCTGCTTCAACTTCCATCTTGCAAGACATACCATAAGCTATCAAAATAGACTCACATGTGAATGACCCAGGCTTTTAAATGTTGCATTATAGTTGGCCATATTTATTCTTTTTTCTTTTTTTTTTTTTGCTAGAAGATCTTGCTAAAAGGCTTTCAAATGCATGCAATAGATGAAAAAAACCATAAATTACTTTCCTAAGATGAAGAGATTTAAAGCACCAGTGTATACAGACAACTCTGACACCCATCACTGAATGAGTGTGATGTGAGAAAGGACTTGAAATCCCAAGAAGTTTGCTAAAAGTTATGAGGTACAGGACAGAGACCCTGTATCTCTGTACCAGTATGGTACAGACTTACGCAGAAAGATGGAGGCATAGGGTTAATCATAGTATTAGATGTTGGAGAAACTACACAGGTGAGTTATCAGAAACCACACTTCAAAAATTCCTCCCATTTCACAAGTACTTATTTTTGCCTTTGCTCCGCCAGCACCATTTCCAGAATGCCTGGTAACACACCATCAGCCAGGCCAGCCCACCATGATTTCAACTAGTACAACACATGTGCATCTTCTCCTCCAACTGAACTCACCTCCTGGAGCTCAGTGAGGGATAATCAGATAGCTGGAGAAGAGGTTCAGTGCCATGATGGCCTTCAAGGATTCCTCGTGTGCATGTATCTATAGCTGCCATGCCAGTCTGTACAGGCATTAGTAGTGTAATAATATTTTATGTTCCAAGTGCTGCGAGAGTGCTGTCACCTTCTCTGATCTGTTCATGACCCCCAATGTAACAGTGCCATGAAGGACTGTCACAGAAGTTGTTCAGTGTCTTAAAGGCTGGTATTTATGTTTGAATACTTTTGGTGTGCTCTGCACTGCACTGACTGCTTGTGCCAGGACTGACTGGTTTTGTTCAACTATCAACGAGAAATACAATTACTACTTCTAAAAATAACTTATCTGAAAGTAATAGCAATAATCAATATGTTTAAAAACATATTCTGTTAATAAAAGAAAGCTGGAACTAGGAACTCCCAAAGCAGGTACCAGAACAGTGGGGAGAGTTCAGAGGATGCTACAGGAGTTTCTGTGCAGGGTTTAAGGAAAAGTAAAATAATGAAAGAGCTGCTATACATTGCCTGCCTACATGCACACACCACTCCAGGGTGCATTTCTTCCTTTTAGAAAACAATACAGGAGGACAATGGGGAGCAAAAAGAATTTCACTAATTGCAGCCCTGAAGTAGAAGTTTGAAGCAGAGCAGCGGGTTACCAAGGCAGCGGCTGGTTGCCTGAGTAACTTCTGCATAATCACTTACAAACAGTGCAGAGCTATAATTTTCCTCCAGAACATGGCTGTTGTGCTGAGATATCTGCCACTGCATTGAACTTGATCACCCACAGAGGTTAAAATAATGTAACAGGACGCAAGAGTATGTCACGTGTGGTGGAAAAAACCCAGATAAATACCATAATTTGTACAAGTAATCTCCTTGGGCATCACTTGACAGAAAAATCCAAAAATAACATGAAGTAAGATCCCAGTGCACTTTTCAGAAACACTAACAATACAAAGAAGTCAGAGTCCTGGTTCTCTTCCTTCCATACAGATACAGTAGATTCTTGTTGAGAAGCCAAATATTATTTTTTATTTCTTTCTCTACAGAAGTAATCTGTACAAGCTGTAGGTAAATTTACTTGAACAGGCTGGAACTTAAGAGCCCTAGGTGAATAACCTCTAGAATCAGTTTTCCTTCCTTCTTACGAAAAATTAAGGCTAGATGTGTTTTCACTCATCAGGTAGATCAAATAAACTATGGCTTTGGCAGGAAGAATGGACAGAGTTTCAGTAAGTTCGTTCACAGACTTATTAATTCTTCTAAATTTGTACCATATATGCATGTGTATTTTCCCCACTAACAAGCACTGAAGGGAGATCCACATGAGTTACAGGGCAAAAATCTTTGCAAAAGTTTACCTTAGAGGAAAATTTGAGATGAACTTCTGCTTCATCAGCTAGACTCTTCTTTAGCTGAGCCCAAGCCTCTCCTAGTGTGCTGAAAGAATACAGAGTGACAATGATCAATGCCCTGTCTTCTGCACATCCTCCGAGCGAGATTTGTCAGATAGATATGGTACGATGCTTGGTACCGTATCTTGCTCAGCAAAATCATGGAAAAGTGACAGCAGAAATCTGAGAAGATAACCGATCTCTGTGACCAAGGCAGAATTATATTGGCATTGCATGTAGCAGATCTTTGAAAACACTGTTCATAATGATCTCCAGTTACAGAAATGCCAGTCTCCATAAGCGAGATACTTCAGTATCTTATCCTTACCATAACAAAGTTTTTCTCTTCTAATCCTTAAAATAAATCTTCACCAATGCAGTTTTTCTATTGCCTCTTCTACTTTACACCCTACTTTTGGTGAACAGATTATTCTACTTCTCCTTGGAGAAGCCATTCAGTATTTGAAAATTACTCCATCTTCTTTTTCCTTCAGAGAAATTATTTTCTAGAATATGGCAGTTTAGGTATGCTCCTCTAGACCCTCTCCAACAGATTCCTCTTAAAGCGTCATAACCAAAACTACACCGTCTTCCAGCAGAGGTCTTCCAGTTGCTAAACTGGTAAACAGATTATTTAGTATCAGACACTCTTTCTTCTACTTATCTCAGTATGATTGCTTTTTAAGACAACAGTGTGAACTTGTTGATGAATAAGCTTGTGAGTCACTATAGCCAGATCCTTCTCCCACAAACTGTTATGTAACTGTATCTTTCATATCCTGTGAAAATATAAAACCTGGTACTTTCTCCTCATTGAAATGCATCTTATTTTTTTTCAGTTAATTCCTCTAGTTTAACAAAATAATTCTGAATTGCAATTTTTTCTTCAAATTGTACATACCACCCCTCCTAGCTTTGTCTCATCTCTGATTAGAGTAAACCCATTATTTATTCTACCATAGGTCATTAACAAAAACATTGAAAAAATCTGGACTTGGGACAAAACTTATGGGATCTCACTCCATAGCTACTTTCTGCACTTTACTTTTTGTAAGTAGAGGGTATGATGTCTTACCTAGTTTTGCACCTTAGGCTTTATTTAGGCCACATTTCTCTTGCCTGCTTACAAGAATCTCCCATTGCAAAAAGCTATACTAAATTAAGAGCTATGATGATGACTTCTTCTGTTACTCCACCACTGGAGGAAGTTAGGTTATTTGTTCTGTATGCATCCACAATAATTGCTCACCACCTTAGTTTGCCACTAAGTGCTTCTAGAAAGCTTGATGGTTTGTTCTACCACTTTGCAGAGGTTAAATAAAGCTGAGTGATCTACAATTTCCCGGCTCCTCCTCTCTCTCCCCCACCCCTTTTCAAAGACAGTCATTTGTCCCTTCCTGATAGCTTGAAAAATTGTCTGTCATCTGCAATTTCAAAATAATGATCTGTAATCTCTGGCATTACTCCAGTGAGTTGAGTCCTCAAGTATGGTGTTCATCACAGCTAAACAACCCGAGATTGTTTCGTCTACGTAAGTGCTCCCAACTCTTCTTCTTCCCTAGTCCCACTCTGAGGTCCCCTACCACTGTACAGTTCTCACCGGCACTAACTGTTTTATCTGATCTATTTAAGTGAAGAAGGCATTTCAGCCTGCTAAGCATCTTTTGCATCTCTTATCCAACTACAATGACTTAAATGACCATGGATTGTATCACCTTCTGTGTACGTGCAGCAACACTGTACTCACAGCAACTTGGATAGAACCATCCCAATACCACAAATCGGTCCCATATCATCACCCTCATGTCCCACTCACATACATGATGGTGGGTCTTCTTACCACCAGAGGAGGGCATAGGACTCTGGAGGGACAGCCCATTTCTGTCAATTCCACAGACTGCTGGACAGCGAAGCTGGAAAATGCTCTGTGGAGTACGAAACCAGCAGTGGTAGCTGGTGTGTTCACAAAGCAGCTCATGGGGTCCCCCAATTCACACCTTCTCAGGAATGAGAGGAAGACCCTGGCAAATGTTTACTTTGAGTGTGCTAGGCTGCAGTCCCACTTTTGGCTCCTTCAAATCCTCCTGTTGGCTGCTCTTCCTCCCTCACTTTTTAAAATGGAATTTTTCCCTTTCCGAGGCCTCACCAATTCCCAGGATCTTCTCACTAGCCTCTTCCTGGCCCTAGCCAGTTTGGCTACTACAGCACCAGGAGGAGAAATTCCAGCAGGACCTCCTTCCACTCCCTCACCTTGCCGAGGCAGAGCACCACCAGGCAGTGTTCCTAGCTCCCTGCACTCTGCTCCGTATCCCCCTCAGTTCCCTACTTGAACATTCTTTATGCTTTGGTCCTCATTCCCTCTCTTTTGATCTACTCTCCCGTAGTTTTCTTCCCCTTCATTTTTTTCAGGCATTCCTCCCTTCTCCTATTGGGGGTAGAAGAAAGTGGGAGAAGGATGTGGAAGAAAGTGGTTTTAGCTTTGCTAGGAGCAGGTTAACACCCACCCCTAAAGGGGAAAGAAGAACAGAAACCATCATCAATGTAGGTGCTTAGAGAAGCAACAGCCTAGTTAGCCTCTACAATTTCTGTCCTTGCCTACTGGAAGCTGAACAAACACCTTGTGGATCTTCACTGCCAGTAGAAACACAGTGTCAGAACTAGGGTGAGGACAGTAATTTCCAACCTTGGCTTTCAGTGCTTAGAGGGTTTGTGTTGGAACAGATAGAGCTAACAACTTCTAAACCTTCAGGAGTGGTGTCTTTTCATTATTACTGAAAAATTGCAATCTGGTCTGGAATTGCATTGCCTAATACCTTCTTAGTAACTTCCAAAGTGTGAACATGCTGTAAATAAGGGACAACATGCTACTTTTCTTGGAGAGCCAGACCCACGATGAGAAGAGACTTCTTTGTCCTCCCTCTGTCTGTGCTGCTCCAGTTCTACTGGTCTGACCTTACGGATCTACTTTCAGCAGTATATATATTTCACATACTCTTCCATTTTCAAAGTAATTTAGTACTTATATATGCTAATCCCTAAAGGAACTAGTGCTGGCTAGAACAAGGGTAGCATAAACACATTATTGGAAATGCAATGTTTTATACACGTGTTCCTAAAAATTTACCATGAACGTCTTAAAAAAAAAAAATACTCCAATACTTGCCCAACACACCCAGGATGCTAAGCTAAATAAACCTCTACTCAATGGGAGAGGTCAGGAAAAATACATGTACCTGCGTGGGAGGAATGCCTTTTACGTTAACATTCTTGTCTACTACAAAAGTCACAGAGATACACTTACCCTTCTTCCTGAGCAGCCAAGGAATTCTGAGACAGTTTGGACAGGTTCTTAGCATATTCCTCCTCAATCTTTATCCTACACTCACACACACACAGAGGGAAAATAAAAAGACAGCAGCAAGTAAGCTTTAAGGCAGAAACCCACACACATAATTTAAAGAAATTCTCTGCATTTTAACAGATCTTGCCACAGGAATTTTCCTTTCAGTCTCCAGGGCTTGGCAGCACCAGTTTCAGGATCCATCTCTCCCCTCCATATGCTAAAAATGCTGTGGCAAGAGCAGGGATATATGCAGGACAGCATGTGCGATAAAATTAGAAGAAAAAGCTACAGTTCTGGAGAGCAAATAACAAGAACAAAGTGTTTCTACTGTGCAACATGGACTGTCTGCAAAACTGGGCTCACTTGAGAAGCATGTGATTCAGTCTGCAGCTAAACGTGAGGTCGCACATCCTTGAAGCAAAGATGAAGGAATGCAGTGATACAGGAGAAACACAAATGAGGTTTGGGGTGCTGGACTGCACCTTTCCTAGGGACACCGAGTGCTTCCTGCTCCCCATTACAGGCGATCAACTGGTGAAGATGTGCCAGGGGCTACTGTCACCGACACATTGTGGTGCAGCCCCTGCCCTTCACCCATGCCACCCACTGCCCTGTCCTTCTCTCCATTCACTCAGCAGCACCACACCAGGAACAGGATCTGAGCCAGTGGTGGGGGTGCAGAAGAGGGAAGCTGTTGGCACACAACCACTGTGGCAATGGCTGCAGGGAGAAGAACAAGTGTAGCTGTTGAGCTAGGGGACAAGGGTAAATGCTGATTGCATAGTAGGGAGGGAAGGAGCAGCTGCTGGCTCAGAGGTGATGTGCATCATGCCTGAAACCCATCTCTACCTCCCCCGAGTTCTTCTCCTAGTAAAACATCTGCAAGGTATACTTGATATCAACTAAGGCAAACAACTGGCTATTTGCTGGTTTTCAAACCAGCTTGCTCAAAAGAGCATCTCTGAGAGACAGATGAGTGGCACCCAGGTGGAGCAACTCCAGATTCTGTGCTAACTACGTACAAGCAGGGGAAAAACCTAGTTTGAAATCCTTCTCCTTCCAGTGAGGAGACAGAAGGTGGGATACTTTTGGCATGCCCATTTGCAGTAGCTAATTGAGCAAGCAAAGTTACGCATGGCACATCTGAGACAAAAGGGGTCCCTTGAGCCCAGCTAAGAGGGGTCTGATACTCTGGGCTGCTGAAAATATGATCTGAATGTCACTCTGTGGGATGCAGCTGGCTGAGGCCCAAGGTGATACTCAGCTTGGTATGGCACAGTACAACTACAGATCTCACCCAGCACATGGGGGTCCTCTTCTTCCCCCTCCCATGAGAACAAAACCAGCCAGCTCCCCATTCCTCCTATAGCAAGACCAACAAATACAGCTGTCCAGCACCAAAGGCTACACTGGGGTTAGGACCTCACTATGAAAAGGGCTTTATGCAGGCACATTTCACCTGACCTACTTTAAATACCTACTTCAGGATGACACTAATCTTGTCTCAGAAGTGACAATTTCTATGGACTAGAAAGGGAGCATAGGTCAACTATAAGAAAGATGCAAATGTCTAAATGTAGCTGAGATAAATACCTAAGTGTCCAGCCCAAAGCCAGGGCTCACTGCTTTTGCCTCATTTACCAGAGTTCCCAACCAAAGCTGTAGTCTACAACCTTCACCATGCAACTTTATTCCTGCTGGATTTTGGCTTAAGGATGCCTTTGAGTGATTTACTTGTGGATGCTAGGTGTGCAAAGGCGCTAGCTGGTCTGCTCTCTGTTCTGAGCTGCCCATACTGACAAGACCCTCACAGAATCCATGTCTCGGTCCTTTGTCTCATGAACAGAGGAATAAACATCTTTCATCATAAAGGTTTGCTGTGAAAATAATGAATTTAAAAGCCCATGAAGTCCTTCCTTGATACTGCTGTAGCTGGAGAAGGATTGAACACAACAAGACAAAAGGAAGCCTCATGATTTTCACAATCACACATAAAACACACTAAGTCTGCTACCATCAGTGCCTGTCCTAAGCATGGCACCCTACATGCAAAGCCACTGGCTTTGATGGAGGCGCTCCCCACCGATCCCAACTTTGGCCCGGGCTCTGGGATTTCAAGTGTTACTTGTAGTGCAGGTGGGTGGCACTACTAATAGGGCAGGCTGCCTAGCAAGGAGGAATAACAATTAAAAACTAACAGTAAAAAGGTGAATTTGTTATTGCTTAAGAGCCCCAATTACAAGACATAAATTGTTCCGCCACAGCCTGGTGTCCTGCCACCGTCTGTGGCCAAAACACCTTGAACACCTCAAAAGAGGCTAAAAACCAAGATGAAGATATACCTCAAAAAGGGAAAAAAAATATGCCTCCTGGCCCTGGCCGATTTAAACACCCTGCGAACTCTGGATTGTGGTGACTGTGAAACACCAACACATCAGTACACAGGGACTTCCGAGCCTTGTGAGCCTTCCTCCAGAAATCCACACGGCTGTTTTGCCATTACTCCACCTTCACACCAAAAAACCCCTACATTTCTTGTTTCCACTAACTTGTTTGAAAACTTTCAGAATTTCACTCCTTGTGTAGTCAGAAGCATTACAAACTTTAAGCGCATTTTGACCTATACTGTCTTGACTTTATTAGTTCTAGATGCTCTTTGGATGTTTATTCCCTGCTCTCTTATGCTTTGTAGGTTTGTTGGTTTGTTTTTTTCTTTGAAATAAAGTACTTTGTGTGCCCATACTCAAATAGTTTCAGTCACACCATGTTATAATGAAGAAAAACTAGAGAGCTACAAAGGGAGGCAAAGATGATCTGATGTGACTACCATGCAAGAAGAAACTAAACAGATTAAGACAACTAGGGGAACACAGAGAAAAGGTGATAGAGGATATCTGACAGACATCTACACAACTGCCACTGTGTGAAGACAGTGACTATGAGTCTTTTTACACTATTTCTCCAGATCAGGAGGCAACAATGAAATTATCAGACAACAGAAGCATAATTACTTTTCCTGTAGTGCATAAATTGCAGAAGTCTTCTACAAATTGTTGCAGTGGTCAAAAATATAAAAATACTCAAAAGGATTAGACAAACAGTGGAAGATGTTTACAAGTATCTGCTGAACATGGCAGACCTAAGGCAAACTCTGGCTCTGGAAATCCCCCAAATTCTGGTTATTAGAAGCTGGGAGGACAGAGACTCTCATGCTCTTTTCCTCTTACACAGTCAGTACTGCCATGGTCAGATTAAAGTCAGTGGGCTACACAGACCTTCATCAGACTCACTACAGCCATTCTCCTGCTTGTGTTTCTTTTCATGTAGCTAAAAAACTCTGCTATTTATTTTAAATTTTCGAAGCATAGCCCAGCTCAATTAAAAAGTGAGTGGCCAAAAGCTTAAGACAGTGTTCCTTTGCTAATAAAAACACTACTTATTATACTTGGAGAGTGATGCTATTCAGGGCAGTCTGCAGATTTTCTTGGCCATTTTGGAGTGCTTACTGGAATACAAATGCTGGACCATATTTTCACTTTTGATTTAAAGTAATTTTTTCCTTCTTTCACACCCACACCCTTGATCTTTCAGTTCAGTCAATTTTCTAATTATTTTCCTCCCTTTCTTGAGATCCGTCTTATTAAAATTCAAAGTCTGTATTATAACCCTACCTTTGTCAACAAGAACTGAATGAACACATAAGTGCTTAGTCTAAGATTGCTATTTACAAGTAGCTCCTCTAGAAGCATCTACCTGATAAAATAGATTCAGTTAGTATTGCCTCTTGTTGGTTATTTGATGAAGAAATCTGGTTATTGTATCTCATCCCAGCTTCCTATTTAAAGCTATTTTTATTAGCTGTCTGAACCTCACCTCTAGAAGGCTTGTTGTAGAGATGGAGAGAATTTTTCTGGACATGAAAACCCCTAGCTAAATGTGGTCTTGTAATCCCCGAGCCACCTGATGGTCATCATGAAAATCTTATCAGTATTTCTTCCCTCTTAGCTGGGAATGTAAAGGTTCCCCTGATGGCCTGAGCTCTCATTTCCATGAGTAACCTCTCCAGCTCAACACTATCCTCCTCCTTTTCCACACAGAGCAATCCTGAATCATTTGTTCTAAACAGAAGAAAAATATATTCATCTTTTTATACCTCCCATCTAGATCCTCTTCACACTCAATTCCAAACCTTGTTTCCAGCACACAGTGAATCTTTTCTGTCTTTTCTTCTATAACGTGCCTATTTCCTCCTCTACCGAGGACACGAACGTGACTCTTCCCAGTGTCAGAGCTGCTCTCTCCTTGTTTTCTCTCATTTCATGCAAGCTTTCCCTCCCTCTTGAATGCTCCTTTCTTTTGTTTCTGTCAAATTTCATTATATATTACTTCCTTTGGAGCAGCTTTCCTCCTCTTCTCCCTGGCCATGGCAATCACAATTCTGCTTGCCTTCTCCTCATCTTCTAGCTTAGCAAGACTATTTCTCAATTGTATTTTTCCTTTGCCAGCTGGTCCTTTCTTCTTCCTGCATCCTCTGGTCACACTTTTTCATGGATCAGAGAGGCAACTATCTCTTGGACTGTCTTACATCAAAGGCAGTAGGAACCACATGTGGATGCTGGGCACTCTGCACCTCCTGTACCAGACCATCTTTATTGCCTGTGCTATACTTTGCATTTCTCCACTGCTGCCATATCCCTAATACTAAAAAAAAAGACAAGAGGGAGAAAGAAAACAAACCACAAATGAAAGCAACTATCTGCAAGTTCTGCCCAATTGAACTGCCCCTCAAACGCCTACACAGGTGCCTGTTTGTTGCCCCGTTAATGTTTCCACCACTACTGATTTACATCAGCACAGCCACGCTGTGCCCGCAGCAGCGGAGCAGGAAGGCAATACCAACTCAGCAGCAAGCACCAATATAGAGGCATTAAGAGAGGAAGGCAGCTCCTTCAACTGGTCCTGCCTCCAGAAGAGAACATTGTCCTGGTTTCAGCTGGGATAGAGTTAACTGTCTTCCTAGTAGCTGGTACAGTGCTATGTTTTGAGTTCAGTATGTGAAGAATGTTGATAACAATGATGTTTTCAGTTGTTACTCAGTAGTGTTTAGACTATAGTCAAGGATTTTTCAGCTTCTCATGCCCAGCCAGGGTACCTGACCCAAACTGGCCAACAGTGTATTCCATACCATGGGACGTCCCATCTAGTTTAGGAACTGGGAAGGGGGGGGCAGGGAATTCGCCGCTCGGGGACTGGCTGGGTGTCCGTCGGCGGGTGGTGAGCAATTGCCCTGCGCATCATTTGTACATTCCAATCCTTTTATTACTACTGTTGTCATTTCATTAGTGTTATCATTATCATTATTAGTTTCTTCTTTTCTGTTCTATTAAACCGTTCTTATCTCAACCCAGGAGTTTTACTTCTTTTCCTGATTTTCTCCCCCATCCCACTGGATGGGGGGGAGTGAGTGAGCGGCTGTGTGGTGCTTAGTTGCTGGCTGGGGTTAAACCACAACAACATCCATCAGCATGCTCTGCCTTTCTGCTGGGAGCAAACACTGCTTGTTCCCTATGGGCCGTTCTCAAGTTTTGAGAATCATACTCAAGATGATTTACACTGGCTTGGACACACGACAAGTGATTTCAAATAATAGCGACACTACTTATCAGTAATGATGTCACATCATCTCCTGTACATGGTTGAGCTGAGCATATATCAACTGCTTGTTTGGTGCTCAGTGCTCTTCCCGTGTCAGCAGAGCAACAGACCATTAATAGCATTCTGGAGTTTTCTGGTAGGAACATCTGCCTTTATGACTTGGGGTTCACTCTAAATTATCTGTATGTGTAGTTTAGCTCCATAACCAGCTTAAGTCCCAAGTGATATCTTTTTACATCTTCCTCTAGGAAACTGTGCCTATGCTTCATGTCAACAAATTGCTTCTCTATTTTTCAGACAAAATATTTCCTTTCTAAATATCACCTCTACTCTTTTTTTCCCATGTCCATGTTTTTTCCTTGAATCTGCAGCTTAAAACCTTCTTGGCTCCCTCTATCTAAACGGACAGCCTGTGTGCAATGCAACTGAGACAAGCACAGCAGGGAGAGACAAGTGAGAGCTGGGGAAGACTGGAGAGTGTGGATGGACATTAAAGAAATATTAAATGTTCTTTAAGAATTGGTAGCGTACCTTTTACACAGTTAAGCTACATCATTAATGTACCAAAGGAATATTTAAATCAGGAAAAAAAAATTGCTATAAATAATTAATTTGATAGCAAAGTGCTAATTACCTTTCTCGAACAAACTCTGCCATTTCTTTCTGCATTTGTTTCCCTTTAAGTTGCTTTTGAAGAAGAATTTCAAATCCCGACACTGTATTGTTCCCTTGTGAATCCTTTTTATCAGCCTAGAAGGAAAAAGGAAGTTCAACAAAAAGACACTGGGATCAAAAACATAGACACGCAGTTCCCAGCAGCAATTGCCCAAGGAGTCCAAGCAACAGGCAGCAGTGGTGTCCGAAGAGCCCTGCTCTGATAACAGCTGATGGTCGCAGCACCTTAGCACCTCTCAGAGGAAGAGTCCAACACTTTCTCTTTCCCCTTCCTCTTATTTCTTTTTTTAATTAAAAAAAGGAAGTTTTACAGTTATCTTTAGCTAGCATGAGACTATGTTGGGGCCAAAGCAGCAGCCTTGCCTTCCCTTCTGCCCATGGCCTTTCATACCTGATGATGCCTCTGGGCTGGCTCCAGCAAGCATGAGCCCTGACAGCTCACCCTGCAAAGAGAAGAAGGGATCCTGGAGCCAGCACAAGGGAACTGCTGGGGGAGATGGGAGGACACTGCTGCTCCTTCCAGGGGTAACGCAGCCCTAAACAACCTTTAATAGACTGTCAAGTTCAACCATGATTTGCACTCAGAAAAATACAGCCAGTCTGCACAGATCTCCTATAAAGCAGGGTAAACCAGCAACTTGTTCAATAGGTTACTGCCATATATCCCATCTTTCACTGTTTGTTTCCCACACAGCCCTTTCCACCCTTTGTTCCACTGACTCTCAGGGTTGCTACAAGGACCAACACAGTCTTCTCTCTGCTGCCTCTTTTCTCTCTCTCCTCTCCTGCTTTTCCCTATTTCAGAATTTCATTTCCTACCCTCTTCCAACAAACAGGCCCAAAGAACACTTCCCTAAGGACCACAGGTTTTGCTCCAATATGCTGGATGCTGCACGTTTGCACAGAGAAAAATGCCACATTAATCAAAGTGTGAGACTTGTAGGACACCACACCAGGCACCGGGCAGCTCAAACAACAGGAGTGGAGTTGATCGAAGAGGGAGGGTGAGTCATGGGCAGACCACGGACGACAAGGCCGAACAAGAGGAAAGTCCTGGGAGCGGAGCTATGGGAGGATAAAAGTTTGCAGGAGAAAGACAGCTTTAAGTGGAATTTAAGTGGAGATGTGACCAAACCCAAGGAGCCAAGCAGTGGCCAAGCCTAAATAGAAAGAACCAAGCAGGGCATCTGTAAGACACATGCAAAAAATAAGCTTATATACCATTAATGATTTAGTGCTTATTGGGATCAGAAGACTGGAAGAAAATGAAGAAACTTTGATGGTTTGGTAATGGGACCATTTGCAAGTATGTCAGTGTATTCTAGAAAGTTATGGCCATTAGTCCTCACACCAACGCTGAGCATGCACGAGGGGAAGTGCTACTGTGCCTCCAACAGCTACACTTTTTTGTAAGTGAATCTCTTTTTTTTTTTTTTTTTAATGGAAGGACTTCAATAACTGGTAACTGAAAAGACATGTGAAATTCATAAAATCTTCATTATTGAGGTAGTATTCCCCCCCCCCCCAAAACCCCCAGTTTTCCAGTGGAAGATTTTTTTCTATCAATCAGCTCCACACTTGAAGGACTACTGTATCATTTTAATATGATTCAGGATCCTGAAAGAGGAGCTAAGCATGAGAGGGCACACACAGAAACACAGCCACTGCAGACCTCCCATGCTGAAGGCTGCATTAAAACTACTCAATTTAAGAGCTACTAATAGTCCTGTCCTTCACAAACCTCATTCTTTAAAAAACTCATTTATCCATGGGAGTGAGTTTTACAATTAAATGCAAAATTTGTAACTATCTGCTTGTTTTAAATGTGATACCCTCAGCTTCCTTGTGTATCCCTAGCTCTCGTGCTCTGGGAAACAATGAAATAATATTCCTTGCCAGCCACCTCGCTATCCTCCCTCCTGCTGCACAGCCCTTTTGGCTGTGGTATTCTGAGACATGTAGTTTGTCCTACATCCTCCCCATTTCCTGACCAAAATCAACTCCTGACAGCTGACCTTGCCTTTACTGGACACTCTTCACCCACATCTGAGTCCGGTTAGATGGTTTCTACCTCATCTTCACTGGCATCCTCAGACACCCTGGTGCTGCCCTAACACACTGCATTTCAGCTCCAATTCTCTTGTACTTTGTACCACTAATCAAGCTGTTCCACTTTTTTGGAAGCTCAGGAGCTGCAATATGGCATGTGGCTGACTGCCTACTTACCCAGAAATAATCACAGTAGCTCCACTCCGAAGGTTTCAGCAACTGCTGCTCTGGCATTACGTCAGGGTGGGGGAAAGTCACACAGTTTATCTGTAAAAAAAGGCAAAAGAGAGTTAGAAGGTAATGAAATTTAGCTGTTGATGAGAAACATGCAAATGAAAGGTTATATACACGCACTTTCAATCAGAAAATCCACAGTGAATGCATGTCAGTGAAGAAAAATTGGTTGTTGCATGGAAACAGCAGCTAAGTATTCCCAGAAAGCTCCTCTAAGCAAGCAGGAGTGTCGCCTCAGAGGAAAATAAACTACCCATTTCACATGAGGAAAACCTGCTTGATTTGGAACGCGCTATACAGGGACTTTTCCTAGATCCCTAACAAACTGTGGTAAAAATCCTGACGTGAAACACCCTGAGCATGCCCTGAACACAAGAAATATTGTGAGCAGCAGGGAGCACTGAGGCGTATCTCATCAGAAAATCTTGGCTGTGTTAAGTCTCTTACAGGATTACAAAAAAAGGTGTTATTTTTTTCAGTGCACAGCCATTCTGTCTATCCCAGAAACCTTTTCAGATGAAAGTGATGCTCCCTGCAAAAAGGAAAAGGGGCTCTCTAAAGTCAGCTAGCCTTCAGTGTGCAAAAAACCACAGCAATTTGTGAGACAGGACTCATCACACAGTCATTAAATAAAGGCATAAAAAAGTACAAGTGCTCATTAAGTTATCGCAGTAGAAAATGTAGCCTGATAAAAGCACAGTGGAAGCAAAGAGCATGACAGCTACTGCAGAACATGCTGCAGAATAACTCTGGATGCAGTTAAGCCCTTCAGGGGAAGCATCAGCAAGAGTCAGAGCTTACTTGCCAGTTCATAATGCTCACCTAAAATTTCTGCTGGGCAGGCACACTAAAAGCATTCCCTCTTATGGCACCCGCAGGTTCACTGCAGTGATTAATACCTGTTAATACTTGTGTATTAATCAAGGAACCACCAGAAACTGAGGACGGAAGACTCACAGATGCAACTGTATGGGTTTGGGGTTTTTTTTGGATCAGTTAACATTCACAGGAAATCCAAAACCAAAGCTGTGGGCAGGGTTAGCACAGCCGCATGGGCAGACCTAAAGGTAGTGCTTACATGCAGTGAATCTGCCTTTGGGCTATTCAGAGAGGATCAAAAAGGACACGGCAACACACTGCAAAGTGCTGACACAGTGTAAACCCACCATGCTAGGGCAATGCAGACAAAGCCTTTAGCTGATACAATGCTGTTCCTACAAACCCACGTTGGCTCTGCTGCTGTCTGCCCATGAAGTTTCAGTGGCTGTCCTGTATGTAAGGCAAGAGCTTTCTCTACCCCCCTTCTCCACAAAAATCACCCTGTCCAGAGCTTGCCAAGTCCATTTCAAAGCAGGCTGAGGACCCTGTACCTATGGTGTCTTTGGCTGTCACCTCAGCTAGATCCTAAACTGCATCTTCCCTTCCAGCTCCCATTGGGCTTCAATCTGATCTGCAGGAGGTGGGAGACCAGGGCTTTTACTTCACCATCATTTTGCAGGCAGCAGTCATGCACTGGTGAGCCTGCATCTCCAGCCACAGCCAGCCACCACTGGGCACACAGTCCCAACAACAGACAACAGGAGCTGCTGAAAACACCTCTCTGTTCCTTCATGTTCCCCATCAGAAATGTCATGCATCAGGAGTTATAAAACATCAACTCAGTTCAGAGTGGGATGGCCACGCGACAGAGGTGCCAGTGCTCACCTGTCACCACCACAGCCTCCAGCACAAAGCCCCTCTATCAGGGATGTTTCACTGAGGACACCTTCTGTCTCTGCTGAAGTTTTCCTCTCCTGCCATTTCCCTGTCAGTTCAGTTATCTCAGGACAGCACTGCAAGCTCATCTTGCCCTGCTAGGTAGGTTGTGTTACCTTCCCTAGTCCATTCAGGGACCACCAGATCTAAAAGCCTGCGAACAGATCCCATCATCTGCTGGAAGCACCCCAGCCACAGGAGAGGAGCTGGCACCTCTCCTCTGGGCACAGGCAGCACAAGCAGGGGGGTGCAGAACTGCTCGTGGGTACTGCAAATCTCTGGTGCAAGGGGCTGCAAGTGTGCACTGGCTCAACACCCTGTTAGGAGACTTCTCTCACCCCCACCAGGAAGCTTCACAATTGATCAGCCCAAATGTCTCAAAAAGACCAGCTAGAGACCTTAAGCCAAATTGCTGCTTTCAGACAGTATCCAACAAGCACCGACCTGGACCAGTGCTGGATCAGCACCCAAGGCCAACAGATAAAAGGCTCCGCTTTGCTTCACAGATCACCCAATTCCATTGCCAGTGCTGATCATGGGCTGCACTGGTACCTGGGCATGCCTCTACACTATCACAGCAACATGCTATTTCTCAAATAACACAATATATTGTAGTTTCGCCTTAAAAAAATGAGATGGCCTCAGAACCTGTGCACAATTGCTCTGCCATGTACCATAGCGGGCCAACTGCTTCCCATGAGTGAGCAATGCTGCAGCGCATCCTCGCAGAGCAGGTGAGATTGGGGAAACAAAGTATTATCAGCAATGTTATAGGTAACCATGTGAAGGCATGCAGTATCGAGACAGGTTTAAACAGCTTCTGGCTTTGAGGATTTTTGGCTTTGATGCTGCATTTCAACTCACTGAATAAAAACAAGGGTGTCAGCCACAGGTCACTTGGACTCCAGCCCTTCCAGCCCCGCCAGCCTGGCAGCCTGCACAAAACACTGCCCTGTACACAGCTACCATGTGTGCTTACACAACACACCTCATCGGCATCCAGGATAAGGTGCTGCCTCTTGAGAGCAGACTGACAAGCTACAGGAACTTGGGATTTAGCTCAAGTTAAAAATAGTTAGCAGTAGAATGCAAAAGAGGTAGAGACTGCATGGAAGTTTTAGGGACGCTGGAAACGATTCACATCTCCACATCAGGAGCACCACTACTGCAGTGGTGAAAGGAGAAGCTATTTTGGTTTCCATCTATCCTCTTACTGGTGGTCTTGCAGAGAATGGCTAGGAGGTCCCCTGTGGAAACACACTGCTGAGTGGAGTTTTGTGTTGCCCGAGACTACTTACTTCAACTGAGAAAGGACCAAATGCTTCCCAGGAAGACAGCAGTGTTTTCAAGGCAGATTTCTAAGGCCCAACATTGTGACACTGGATAATGAGAAGGGGGGGGGAAGATAGGCACCTCCTAAGTGTATTTTGTAGTCTTTACCAGAAGACGGCATCATCGCACTGCGCACCAGGTTACAGAGGTGTTGTGCAGCAGGGAGCACATAGAGTGGCATACGAGTTGTTCCCTGCAGCTTAAAAATCTGCAAAGGGTAACTGCAAAGGAAATTCATATTCCCTGCTAAAAACGCCACCTCTTTCACAAAAACTAAATCTGTGTTGGTTGGAAGCTGCTTATTAAGACTCTCTGTTACGTCACTAATGTCCTGAAGAAATAAACACAGAGTCACTGGAAATGCCCACATTTGGACTGGTGAAAGTGTTCCACTGCAGTGGACCAAACACACCGCACCACATCAACGCACGCAGCAGGAAGAGTAACAGTGAGTACACGTGTCAACAAGTGATGAGAGTAGGGTTAATTCACGTGTTTCTCAAAGAGTATCGTCATGCTCAAAGTTTTATGAATAAATCAAGCATTCTTCACTTCTCAGAAGTTTATACTTAATTGTCCAGAAACGATGCTGAATTGTCTGGAAAAAGTCATGAGCCCATTTGGGTCTAGTATCACATTTAAAAGGAAACTGGTGTCAGAATTTAAAAAAAAAAACAAAACGGCAGAAGCTTTTGCAATCTTAAAAAAAAAAAAAAGGATTATTTGTGTGGTAAACAGAACTTAACAGAACTTACAGTTTTCTACACAAAGTCCTGGAGAGGGCATGAAAATTTTCAAAACTCTAGAAATATTACTAAATATTATACACGACTGCATAGGAAATCCTGTGACTCTTTCTTTCCTTTCATCACCACAGATTTCTTATACTTAAACAAGAGCTCTTGGATGTCTATTTCCAAACATTTCTAAAACCTCTCAGGGTTTCCCAGCAGGGAGGGGAACAACGGGCTGGCACTGAGCAGGACGTGGCCGCACACCAGTAGTGGAGTGACCACACCTCACTCCCCCCACCATCCTCCCTCTGAAATGCTCCTTTTCTTATTTCTAAAATCAAAGATAGCTGAAAAAAAAATATATATCACTCTAGTTCACCAGCTTAGTCCTACTGATGAGGTTTTTGACAGATGCTAAAGAGAGCCAAAGCATCTTGCGATGATGTCCTGATGTTTAACAGCATTAAATAGCTCTATCACTCCCACAGACAGCGACACCCCCTCCCTGCGTGAAAACCCACTGTTGTCACTAATGGCAAGGGACCACTGCTCTCACTAATTGCATCCCTGACAGCTCATCAGGCTACGTGCAAGGTCCAAATTCAAACAACAGCATAGACCACTGCAGTGCTAATCTCTTTCAACAACACTGACTAGCCAATAAGGCCTGAAAAGAAGTGTGCAGGAGCTGACTATTACAGCTGTAATTGCCAGTAAGAAAGAAAACAAATTAAAACACATAGCTAATGATGGAGTCACAGAACTTTAAGAGAAAACAAGGCGTTATGACCCGCATTACATTCACACAGACTCCACTGGGACAGGCGAGGTGATAATCAGCCTCACCACGATACTAAGTCCTCTTCCAGCCTCTTCACTAATAAAAATAATGGCTGTTGTCAGCTTGCAACAAAGCAAAACTAATGACAAGACACCAGCAAGGCATGCTCCAAGTATAAGCTAAGCACACATGCAAGAGGACAGCAGCCTGTCCTTCCAGCTGCCACTGGACACAAGTAGCACCATAAAACCTGTGTGAGAGAGCCACTGGATCACCAAGGCTAGGAAAAGCTACACAGTCAGAGAAGAAATGCTATGAAAAACATGGTGAAAACAAAGCTTGGGGAGGAGAAGAAAACCAGACAAGCAACACAAATTGATGCATTTCTCTTGACAAGCCTTCTGTGTGCCAAACTCAATAACTGTATTTAAATACTTTTGCCTGTTTACTGATCATGAGCAAAAGCAATTATACTCTTAGCAGCTAAATATTCCAGCTCATATTTCACAGGAGTACATTGGCAGTGATGGCAAAATGAGCTGTTTATGTTGTAGGTGACTCTTGGTTATGTCTGAGATGCAAAAGGGTGACAGAAGAAGAAAAGTTACAGGGAGGCAGGTGAGCGCACAGGATTTGCACAAGAGCAGTGTGCACAGGAGCAAGAAACATTATTGGGTTGGGCAGGCACATTCATTTTATGGATTTCAAAGTGCTCTGGAGGCTTTGAAGTTGCTACCAGCACTCACCAGTAAATGAGACATTGCCAAGCAACATGAATAAAACAAGAATAATTTGATCAAGGCTCAGATAATCAACTACGTGTTTATTACATAAGACACTATATAAATAAACTAGCAGAAAGCGGGTAAGCTCACTGTACTAAAGTGACTTAAAGCGCGGCAACATTCTCATTCATTTCTTCAACTTAAAAATGCAGATTATTTTTCCTGATTTCTGCACATTCACAGCACCTTAAACACAGCACTGCTGTGCCAGATTGACTAACTTCAGTATCTGCTTTACAGTTTCAGCTGAGACCCAAAAAGTACAACAGCCAACTCCACTAGATGCAATGAGTTCACCTGCCAAATGGGGCTGTTTGGGCAAAACAGCCAAATGCAAAGGCTGGAGGAGATCTCAGAAGAGCTTAAGCACAGACAAAGGCTCAGGCAGTTTTAAGTCTACCCATACAGGGAAGCCCAAGAATGCCTATACTGTGCCTAGGTAGCTTCAACATCATGAGTTTGCATGTGGTTTTAGCACTGGCAGGGTGATGTTGCAGCTACAGTACAACAGAAGGGGAGAACAGAGAACTGAAGTTCTGATTGTTAACAAAGTCAATTGATACACTTCCTATTTCAAAGGGAACATTCCGCCAAAAGTGTTTAGGAGCCCTCTTTATGTGGTCTGTCTGTAGAAAGGTCCAGAGATGATTTGGTCAGCGCCTGCCAAAGCAGGGGATTTCTGACAGTTTATGCCATGCAGTCAGCCCCAGGGCAGAAGGGAGAACGGTGTTGAATGTGCAGCCTCATACTGTGTTCATCACATTGTGTCAGACACAGAGCACAGCAGCAGAAAATACAAAGTTACTGCTTGTAGCTGCCCCCCTTCCCATGTGCAGCACATGTTCATTTATGTGTCCAACATATGCAATACAAATGCCAGCATTTTCCAAGTCATGCTGTATCTTGACAAGGCACTAGAGCATTCTTAAGAAAGAAACCCACACTCAGAAATACCATAGCATCAGACAGGTTTCTTGCTCTTCAAGCGAGACAGCTCTGTCCCTGAGTCGATATTCCCCTGTACCTTCTCCATTTAACTCTCCCTCACCTATGGTAAAGGAGCTTCAGCTTCCACAGGAACTCATGGCCAGAGAGACAGCTCTTCAGGAATCAGACAGCAAACCAGCCAGTCTAAAACTAATGAGTACACCCTGAAACTCACTGCAAAATCAACGCAGACTGTAGACCACAGACCTGCACTGCTGCTTCCTAAATAAGCATCAGTAATTTGTGCAAGCAAGTTTCGTAACAGCCTCTGATATAACCCAGCAGGGTTCTCCCCTCCAAAGAAAGCAAACACAGTGTCGGTAACATTCATTTACCAAAGAGAAAAGACCATAACTCTTCTTCTTGGTGGGTACATACAGATGAGAAATACTCTAGCTCCTGCTCGCCTTCAGGATTTTCATAAGCCATGTTCCCAAATGGCTATTTGGGTGTACAGGAGGCAGATGCATTCCTAGGAAGGTGGGAATGAACTCCCACCCCTCTGCTGAAAGTGGTGAAACAGACAGCTAGGCTGCAGCCACTGGTGAGGTTGGACATCACCTGATGTCCGCAGTTTGCATATCACAGGATTTCAGTTTGGGGGGAGGTTTGCTGGACCAAGAGCCCCAAAGTTAATCACAAAATTCCCCTCTGCAAGAAGAGGTTCTGCCTACACACTGCTACAGACCAAGAAAAAAACATCTGACAGCAAGCTAACGATGTGCCCTGCAGGTCTGTTAACCAGAACATCCCAACATCAGCTTGAGTGGCACTGAACAAATATAACCTCCTAGGAGGCAGGGGGGAAAATTACATTGCTTTACACTCTGTATGAGAATGTTGTTTTTCACAGTGTCTCCTTGATGCAGACAATGGCTTGGAGCAAACAGCTGTTAAAATTAGCTTGTTTTTGTCTGTCTGATGCATCGTACTTGAAATCTTCAGACTTTTACTGGAGAAATGCACACCCAGTGACCCTGACATAACACACAACACTTTCTTGCTTTGCAGATGCTACCAGATGGCACAGAGGCCAGCATATATGACAGTGAAAACCACCCTCAGTGAACAGCCTGGATCCTCACCCCTGTAAGCAGCAAAGACAGACAAGCGCTGTCATTCCTGTGCTGCACCCTGAAACCCAGTGCAACCCACCCTGGGACCATGTCTAGTCCCTCTGGACATGATGTTCAGCCCATGGTTTGCTCCTGCCCCTCCGACCCGAGTGGGCAGGGGAGCTGCATGAGGTGGCTCAGACGTGTTCCCAGCCCCAGCCACCGCGGCCCTGGAGGCCCTGCAGCTGATTCCCCAGGACATTTGCAAATCTGCCCAGACCAACACATTTATACTTACTTCATGACATACCACTGTCTCAATAAACTAATTAACAGTACCAACACATTTTGTATTCATAATGACTGATTTTGATAACCAAATACACTACTGACGATTTTTTTTCCCCAGAAAACTGTACCTACATGGCAATGACTGACCTGCACTGCAGTCAGAGACCCCTGTATGTGCTCATCCCTGTACGAACCCTCATCCCTGTCACCAGAAACCCAGGGAATCGTGCTCACTGATGGATAAATCAACAGGCTGCGTGTGATAATGTAGACAACAACCTCCTCCTCGTAGTAACAGTTAAGAATGATGTATAACGTTAAATCATTCCCTTTGTTCTCGTGGATTTTATACCCTGCTAGTACTTGCAGCTGTAAGCATGTTTATTGCCCCTCCTTTATCACTGTAATTCATTTATCTGCTCGTTTATCTTCTTTATTATTTTCTTTTAAATAAACCTTTCTATTCCCAGCCACTTCCATTAATCTGTTTTGATTTCCTTCCTGTTTTCAAACATCCGTCCTGCACTGAGGAGTCCAGAAATGCAAACTGTGTTCCAGATGGGGTCACCAGGCATACAAAAGATACTAATGTCTGTAAGCGTGATACTGAGAACATCTTAACTGAGTCAGCTATTTTTAATTATTAATATTAAAAGCAAAGGTTAAGATTAACTTCATACTGAAATCTAAAATCTTTGCCTGTACTTCCCATCAGAAATCTCCACTTGGACACTCTGGCACAGAAAAATACCTCCTGACACCTCTTTGAGAAAAAAATAGATTCTGCCCTGATAGGGCAATGACCCATCTCCTCAGTTTGTATTTCTCTAACCTTTCAGTGTTTCTCCAAACACAGAGGCTGCTGGGAGGCGATGGTTACCAGATGAGGAAGTTTTTTCAGGACAGCTGGTTCACCAGCCAGCATCCCTGGAGCACGGGTGTTCCCATTCCTCGCTCTGTCCTTACCTCCTGCTCGTCCCAGAACCGCCAGAATCAAAGGGAAACTGCGACCGGAATTCTGCCCGGGACGGAGATCCCAAAGCCTCCCCGGACCCCTGACTTACTAGGGTTTACACACCAAAATTCCTCGCGGTGGAGGCGCTGCCCGCCAGCCCGCCTCCCCCAGCCCCACTGGCCGGGCGACCGACG